ACAGTTTGTAGTAGAGATAGGTACACAGAATAATGTTGCAACACATTTATTTAATTTTATTATCTCCGATATTGGTAACAATAATCAGAAAAATCCAATGAAATGGAGAAAATTTCATTTAATTTAACAAAGAGTGAACAATGTCAAAAACATTTCTATTGATTTCCGTAAAGGTGTATTATTTACAAAGAGAAAGCGTGAACAATAAAATTTCAAGGTAGTTTATGGTATAAATTGCATATTAATATTAGTATAACATTACTGGAGTACTATAACTATACTAAATACAAATATTGTAACAACCGTAACCTAACATGCTAGAAAATTCTAATATTTTTGCACTTGAACTCAAACTGGGTGAAATAATAAAAAATAGTAATAGGAAGAACGACAGACCAATAAAATGTATCCTGAACAATATTTTTGTTAGAAACATTAAAATTTTTTGATCCAGTAATTTTTAAAATGTGCTTGAGATTAAAAAACATTTTCTTAAAATCTGAGCAACCTGATTTATGCCTCCTTCCTTGTACCCGCTAGTGAAATCTTATGACGAACCCGTTACAATTTTAGCAAAAATTTATCACACTTTTATGTTAAATATTTATGGTATGTGGAGGGTAACGCACTTTTCTACGATATTTATACTTCAACTGTAATCAGCTTAAACTACTTAAAGGATAAGTATTTTGATATTTGATACAAAAACATTTTGAAACGACTATTAACAATAAAATCATCATAAAGATTATGCTGTCGGTAAAAATGGGAAACGCGGATCATTAAAACACAATCATATGTTGTAATACACTCGTTTTAATCGTATCTTCTTAATTAAAAAATAGTCAAGGTTAAAATTCTGAATAACAATAAAAATTTATATTACCAGGATTTTACTCATTTTGATCAAAAAAAAAAAAAAAAAACTAAAGCATAAAGGTGATTGTAGCAAAAAAATATTTAATATAATTTTTTACTTCCGAAAACCAGTACATAAAAATTTAAATTTTTCTAAAGGCGCAAAAATGTAAAAAACACATTTGCAAACATATGCAACTTGTAATACTAATCTGTATGTAGAACATAGACTTGTAAAATACAGAATGCTTATCTAATGATAAATCCTATTATCTTTCTATTAACTATAATGTGTAGGCAACCTTTAAAACAGATTTGGTAATTTTGTGTAAACTATTCATTCTACTACACAAGATTTTGAAAATTTTAACAACTAGACTTTGGAAACCATATAGTCATTAAATGAACAGTATTAGAAAAAAATCTTGTGTGTTAACTCGTTTCTATAACTCGTATCTCTAAAAATACAGTTAAAATTTTGGTCACGTTTCTAAAACGTGGTTTATAAAAATGTGGCTGATACGTTAATACATATTATAAAAATTTGGCTAATGCGTTAATAGATATTAAATTTATGAATACATTTTTTTTGTCTTTTAAATACTTAAATTTTTAAATTTCGCAAAAATTGTTTTTGTGAATGAGACTATTAATGTATTAGATAATTGGATAAGGTTCAATCTACCTTCATTGCAATTTTAAAAACTCGTTTTCTGTTACCGATCGCGATCGTTGAACCGGCAAATAATAATCTTCATAAGTGATTCGCCAAATACTTGCAAATTTCTATTAATTACATGACTACAAGTACTAACTGCCCTTTTGCAGAATTATGTTCTGAAAAATGAAAAATTCCGAAAAAGTTTTCTTATGCGTCGACATTATTTACGGCGCAAGTTATTTACATATTTTTATTTTTCTAATTGAAAATATAAACAGCCAAATGAGGAAAAGTTATTTTAAAAATAAGTTAATTTAATTTTCTTAAAACTGGTGATGATTCATAGGAAATTAATATTACACAATATGACTTTAGATTATTTTCCATTCTAGTTTAACAATACAGGTACAACGACAGTACTTGGTGTACTGTGCACTAAAAAAATGTTTACAAGATAATTAGCAAATAAGTATAAATCTCTAATCTACGTCATTGTAAACTGCGCCATTGTAGGTATTATTTCCTACATACCATCATCCCAGATTTCTAGTTTTACATTCTTTTTCATATTATATTGTATTACAAAAATAATTACAAAATATTAATGTATCTGATGTCTTCAACTAGTAGTCGTGATAACTTTACTCATACAGAACGATTCATACGTATAAGGCTAGGATGAGCTTGACCAATTTTAAACACAATCCAAAATACAGTATCCATAAAATAGTAGATTTGAAAGTCACGCTTTTAGACATCCTTAAAGGAGTGATAATTTTCTCAAGGTTCATCTACCTATATCTGATGTTTTTTTTAAACATAATAAGAAGTTACATTTAATTTTTGTAAATTCAGTTCAATGAATAATGTTTCATACTTTTATGTGAATCGCCTTCTTATTAGATATAAGAAGAGTTAAATAATTAAGTAGATTTTGTTTTAAGTTAGATAAAAATACATCATATTAAATTAATTGTTTGAGTCAATAATCTACGGAAATGTTAGAGGTATTTCTGAAAAGAGAATTTTCCTTAGCTTATTATTATGTGATAACAAGAAGGGGGTCAACAAATTTATTATATCATTGTCCCAATCATTACTTAATGATACAAATTATCACTGATCCTTAGGTATAATGTTTTTTTTTCAAATCAATCATTCTAGTCAACTGACAGGAATTTAAAAATTAAAAAAGAGATTTAATTGGCATTATGTCAGAATCCAAAATCTTAATTCTTTGTGTAAAATTGCCGATTAGATCTAAGCCTTATAATTAATAGATAGATTTAGGAATAACACAGAGGTTCAAAAACTGTTAAATAACACATGTAGATATACAAATTAAGGAAAATCTTTAAAAAGTTCCCTAAAAAAATATATTAAGCTTTGTGGAGATATTACGCATTCACATGTCTGATTTTTCTGAAAACATAATAACTTACGTATCAAAAAAATTCCAAGAGATGGAAAACTTTGGTACACAATAAATTTTATCAAATGCATATTGTTCTAAAATGTGAGTTATTACTTATTGTCGGAAAAAATTTAAATTGTTGCAGGTTATTAGTTAAACAAATTTATCTTTGAATAACATGCACAAAGATGGTTTTCTCCCGCCATGCTTGTTGTTTATTATATCTAGTATCATTCTATTATTTTCAAATTATGCAACATTTGAAAATAATAAGTTTTTAAAACATGAAAGCCTTAATTATTAAAACTTTTTAATACTCGTAGTATCATTTCACCACACCCTCTACAAAAAATGGCGTGTATAAAAAATTAAAACTCATTTGCTTTTTTAAGAACAATAACATTAACTTTGTTAAAAATCACTGCGTCAGGCATTCCTCTAATTATTATTATTTGTGTGGTATTAGTCATCACTGTATAATTTTTACGTAATGTGTGTCAAGATGATTTGCAATGGTTTGGTCCAATGTACATCTTTTTCGCAAGTCACTTACTTTAAAATCTTGATGAAAAATCTCGTTTCATGTTTAGGTGAGATGGTCTCTATCTCTACATTTGAGAAAGTGATTCATATATATTACACATCGAAAATTTAAAAATATTAAAAGTAAAATATTAATCCCAACATAATAAGTTTTAAATTTTTGAAATACACAAAAAATTTAGTTTCACAAAAATAAATATTAATTTAATAAACCAATGTTTTACGAAAAAATTAATTGTGAATAAAATAATTCAGCTCCCGTTTTTAAAACATTCTGCAGTCATCTTTTGATATATTTTTTTCATTTTTGTGTCGCTGAATACTTGTGATAGAAGAGTATATTTTTGCACGTTGTTACAACTAGTTTGATCACTCTTTTGTTATACACTATACAGAATGAATATGGTATGGAACCAAGCGATTTTTGTAAATCATTTGTCTCCAGAAAATAATAATTAATATTAATTAAAGTAATATAAAAAATGTGACTGTATTTTGAAAACGAAATTTTGTTTTGCTTTTGAGTTATGCGATTTTTTTGCCAAAATTGCAATTTATTAAAAATTTTTTGTCAAGATGAGGAACAAAGTCAGTTTTCCTTATTTTTTTATTATTTTCAAATTTAATAGACTGTGTTTTACGCTTAATTACCTAAAATGCAAAAAACATAAATAAAATTATGTAAACTAAATAGAAAAGTAAAAATTATCAAACCAAATATTAAATAAAATCGGCATTTTGACTGGCCTTTTTATGGAATAATGAACTGGAATAAAATAAATAAATAAAAAACAAATTCTTCATTTTGACAGTTATTTTTTTATTGAATGAGCTATTATTTTTCAGTGATTTAAGAATGTACAGTGTGTTTGAGGAAGACTTTGTAACTTTTATTTGCACAAGTGCACAATGGTAATGCAGTGGCGTTTTTGGGGAGTACAATAGATCACAAAAAATTGATTTTTGAATTATAGAAAAATCTGTGTACAACTAGAACTTCTACTGACTTTAAAGCCAAGAGATTTTATTATTTCGTAGGGAAAAACAAAGTGTCAAAATTTTTGCATAAAATTTCCTTTTTTAACTTCTTCAGGAAATTACTTCTGAAGAATGTTCATAAACGTACAAACTCTATCTCGAGTAAACTAGTAAATTCCACAAATGCACTTGTGTTTATCTGAAAGAGGTGGCGGCAAGTCGATAAACTGCGACTTAAAAATTTTAATCACAATTCCTATTCTCCTGAGTTAATTTCCAAAGTCTTTCTAGTCCTCAAATCAATCTTGATTACAGTTAATACCGCGTATTATCCCTGAATTAAAAACGCTTCAGCTGTTCCCAAAATCCGGGATTACTAGTGAATTTTCCAGTCTGTGTTAATGCCTTTCTAAAAATAGGCCGCATAATTTAAAAGTAGTCCAATTTTGATCGCCCGCGATTTTTTAAAAGAGCCGGTCCGATCATGCGCCCTCCCCACTAGTCCAATTTTTTTGGTCTGCACTCAGAGATTACTGAGTAGTGTTATCGGGCCGGTTCGTTGTCTTCCTGTTCAGTAGAACTGATAAAATTGACAACGAGCGTTCGTTTTTAACATTTCCTTATAAAAACAACCGACGGAAAGTTAAATAAGTTGTGCTGTGCTCGAGTTACGTGTCCGGAGTTCGACTGTCGGCAAACACAAAACTATAATGAACGTTTGATTATGATTTGTATTTTCAAATCATTCCTCGATCTTTTAACGATAGTTTCGTCCCGAAAACGGAAGCGGCTCAAGTAACATCGCGTCCACAATCGCATCCGCCATTTAAATTCGGATTATTTTTGGCGCCGTATTTATTCGGATCGTAATTATTTATTTTTTTATTTTTTACGCTCTTTTATCGTTGTTAACTCGTTTCGCTAGTCGAAAATGCATCCCAATCGCTTGTAACAAGTGCTATAACATTTCGCCGAATTAGTTTTACTCAATTATTCCCAATTTAACAAAATGAAAAACAACGTGACAAATGGGACCAGTAACAACACCAGATACACGGTCGTCTTTGACCAAGACAATCTCAACAACACGGGAAAGAAAAAAACAGGTAAATATAAGGAAATCCAGCATTTTTACTATTTTTGATCTGCCGATGCAACCACGTGCTTCTCGTGCCACATTCCTTCTCTTTCTTGACTTACACCGCGCATGCTCATTTTGGACATTTTGGCGCCGATTTCAAAAAAATAGTTTCAAACCAATTCCTTATCATGTTTCAAATCTTATCTAAACATCAATCCGATCCCCTGGGATGACTCAAATCTTATCTGAATTCACTAAATCTCTCGCAGCCATAAAATCATCCAATTGTCGCATGCGAAAAATAGGTATGTTGCCTTGGAATCATTTCAATTTGGGACGCTTATCTGGAGTATGCAATTTCCCAAAAACCTCGTCTAAATAATCAATGATTGATTACTTTGCCGAGAAATACATTTTTCCAAAATCATTGCCGGTTAAGTATTGCAAAAATGTGGTTCAAAGTTCATTCGTGTTTATTTCTACCATTGCAATAAAAATTGGTGATAAGTGGTTTCGTATTTATCGTTCAGATCAGTCGGAAAGTTCATGAACATAATTAATTATTAACACTCCACTGCTCGTAAGGGGTGTATTTACACACGATTATTGACTTTATTGATATGATCATTATCACAAAATTCGAATTTACTAACGCGTACAAGATATTGATCACTTGTATTGCACAACAAAATAATTTTTTATGGTTATTGGCAACTCCAAGGTACACGTGCAATAAGATTGTGATCCACATTTAACTCTCAATTTGCTGTCGTCATTACAAGTTAAAAGTCAGACAGACTAAAGGTCGATTTCCAGGTTTAAACATTATATTAAATATGATGAGTCAATCTATTTTTTAATAAAATAATAAAATGGAATGTGAGGTTTATTCTAGTAACACATTTATGAGTTTGCTGACTCGTTTTTATTTCATAGCATGACTCTCTTCCAAATGAAAATTACGACAGACAAGGTTAGATAATTCCATATAATTTCATTCACATATTGTGACTTTATTATTCCAATCACCTTCAAAATTTTTATCACTTTTAATACAGAGTTTCATTTACTACCTACATGCTTTTGACGAAATAAAAACGTCAATACATAAGTATGCCAAATTTTTTTGAAAACTGAGTGATGCTCAACATTGTTACGCAAACATTCATTAAAATTTTCAGGGGAAATAGCGTTGTTAATTCTACCACATTATGGTAATTGTTAAGTGCCACAAGTGATGTTTATTTTTAAACTAGCTGTATTTAAATGTTATTACAATGTCAACTAGATAAACACGGTGATGTCCAAGTTTTTAGTACAATACAAATAAACTTGGAAATTTTTTTCTTAGAAACAACGGTTTACTCCAGAAAAAATTGGCAAAGTTGGGAAGCTTCTGTGGAATAAAGTTTTTTTTAGATTACTTTGAAATTGGGTCCCCAGTTGGGATACCAATTGAAGATATTCTTGACGGCTTTGTTGAAATGACCGGTATTTGATTGTTATTCATTAGGCGGTACATAATAACAGACCACAAGCACGTGCTATTTTATTTATACCACGAATGTCTCATATCTCGTTATAGATATCGTAGAGACAAGTTCATTTATGCGTATTTCCCGATTGTTCTCAATTATTTTTCGGAACAAACATTCATATAAACGTATTAGTCATACACGTGCAAAATCATTGCATTAATTGGCTCTTTTAATGAACAGATGCCACGAGTTGGACAATATTCAAATAACCCATGGATTAAAAATAATCTATTTTTTAATTACGTTAAATTTGCTATATTCAAATAGGTTTATGCCAAAGATGCAAAGCTTCTTTGCTTGTTGGTGATTTTAGTTTCAGTTGTCATGCAACACGAACGAAATGTGCTATTAATTTTTTAGAAGAAAGGTTTTAGATAATCCTTATTAATATTTTTTATAATCTTCAATCATTAATGATTGGAATCATGATTACTGCATGATGCTGTCATGTTGTTTTTTATTTTTTAGTAGTATGTATCATCAAAGCGAAATCAAACCGAAATCGTTTTCATTAAACATTTGATTCCTTATTAAGGAAATATTCTTTTTGTATTCTGATCATTTAGAATGTGGTTAATTTTCCATTTTAATTTTCATTAAATGCAATAAATGGCCCTCTCCGACAATCACACAGCAAATGATTCATTAAAAATGTGATTTTTTGATGTTTTTGACTTTTTTAATGGGGTTTTAAAAGAGAATTTGGGAGAAAATTTTTAAATCGCTACCTAGTTATGAAAACAAAAGTAAAAAGATAAATGAAATATTTGTATTGATAAAAGTAAGCAAAAATTAATTATAAATGAAAAATATATTTCAAATAAAACAACAAATTAAATACAATTTTTACCATTAAATGTTTGGCAAGAAGTGTTGTTGGCCCTGTTTAAAATTAATTTTAAATTTAATTAAAAATTAGTGAACAAGATTTAATAGGCGCTGCAGATAAAACAAAATAAACTGAGTGTTTTTGGTGGTTTTCAAACAATACTTTTCTAGACTTATTAGGAGTTTTTTTTAAACAAAATACTTAAAAGAAAGAAATTATGAAACAAGAACTTTTAACGTACGAAAGAAGGAATCACTTACAATTATTTATATAATGTAAAAGATAAATAGAGATAAATTTCCCATTTTGAAAAATAAATGGACTTTTGTATTTTCGGTTTTACACAATTCATTTGATTAAACTGTAATATTTTTTATAAAATTACGATGTTAGTAAAATGCTTTAGATTGGCTGTTAGGTGTACACATTTCTGTTTACAACTGTTAGTAACTGTTTTTTTTTCTTGCAGGATGGTTCGGCACGAGGCATTTTGTGACATTTATGCTGTTTCTTGGAATGGCAAACGCTTACGTAATGAGGACCAACATGTCTGTGGCCATCGTGGCAATGGTAAACCACACTGCGATCGAAATTTCGAGTTCGAACCACGATGAGCCCATCGATACCGAATGCGGCGTTGATGTTCCACAGGTAAATTAATCGAAATAAATTTGAGATTGCGTTTCTATGTTTGGTTTTAGATGAACAAGTCGCATCAAGAAAATGACGGCGAATTCGTCTGGGAGACCGACATCCAAGGCTACGTCCTCAGCTCCTTCTTCTACGGCTACGTTGTCACCCAAATTCCCTTCGGAATCTTGTCCAAACGCTACGGCAACATCTACTTCCTCGGCGTGGGCATGCTGATAAACTCCTTGTTCGGCTTACTGGTGCCCATAGCCGCCAATATGGGCATCTGGTGGCTGATAGCCGTGAGATTCATTCAGGGTCTCGGTGAGGTGAGTAGATGATTGTCACAAGTACAAAGTGAGACAACACATTTTTGTTGGTTTTACATTGTTTTTTGGTTTTCGAGTTAGTGAAACAAAAATGGTGTTTTCCTCTCACTTTCGTACCTTGTATAGGTTTTCAACTATACCTTTCTGGTCAGGGCCCTATTGTCCCATGCACACACGCTCTTCTGGCAAAATGGATCCCTCCTAACGAGAGAAGTCGAATGGGTGCTTTCGTTTATGCAGGTATATTTTTCTGCAATACTGAAAAAGAGACAGTGTAACGAATGATAGATATTACGGCGTGTAGAGCCGAAACGGTATGTTGTTTGATTCTGAATTAGCAGTAGTAAACAGTTTGCCCAAGTTCGAGTTTTGTGTGAGTGAAGGTAGAACATCCATCAATGTTATTCAACATTCGGGTGTAGGGTGTCCAGGTATACAGGTGTTTCATCTAACATTTTTCCTCTCGTTTCCAAGATTTCTACTTTTCTTTAAACTCTTTTTCTTGATTCATGCAAACGATACGGTTATAATACAGCCACATTCCTGTATATGGCCACCCCTTATTTTCAATCGCCTACCCCAAAGTACTGTACTTCAGCGAAATCGGTATAATTTAAAAAACTTAACTAACTAAAAACTTTAACATTATTAAATGAGTGCAAGTCAGCGTAACTCAAAAATTAAAAACTAGTTTTTGGATTACTTAACTGAAGACACTATGAACAGAAAATGCATTTATTTTTATTTAACAAATAACAATTATTATTCTCTGCGATTGGTAAGTATATGTAAAGCTTGCCCTTCTCTGCATTATTTCTAAATTCAAAACTTTCTTTCTTGTTTTAAACTCAACTGTAAATGTTTTATCAAGAACAGTGAAAAAAATGACGAAAAAAAACAAATAAAATTTTGTTATTGCAAATAATATCAATGTTTTGACCGGAAAACGCTACATTTATAACATTAAAGGAAGGCGACGTCTTAAGTGTGGTGGTAAATCCTTGAAACTCTTTTCCAGAAGTTTTTCAGATTCTGTTTAATTTATAATTTCGAAGATAACTTTACGTTTTAATAATTTTATTAAATTATGATGATAAATTTCATGGGTTAGATAACTTTTCCTTCAAAACAATTTATAAGAACGTCATTTACTTTTTTTAATGTGAAATGTTTGTGTTAAACAAATATCTGTCAATTATTTTTTTTAAAAAAGCTTATCAACATGATTAAATATGGCACCTTTAACATTTTTCTAACAGAAATAAAGTTTAGTGAGAAAAATTTGTTTAAAATTTAAATCATTTTTGATGCTGATCATTACGGATTTTTAAGAAAAAACGACCTACTTTATCCTAAAACTTGCACAATTTTATTGGAACTATTTACTTAGCCTGATAATTTCATTGTTTATAGAAAGTCTGAGATTTTTGTTTTGATAAAACGTAATATAATTGCAAAATTAACACCATGTATAACCTCAATTGTGTGAGTCAATAATAAACAAATTAAGTTTATCATTCTGCGAATTATCTGTCAAATAAATCCGCTCTTCAAAGAAGTATTTACAAAGATCACTTTTGGCAAATGTTAATTTTGTAAAATTTTGTGGCCATGTCATGTTTATTTGATCACTGGGAAAAAAACAGTTTCCGTTCAAGTGAATAACAACTAATAATAGATTATCACAATATGTAATAATAACTGATACAACGGATTCTGAATGGAATATTACTGCATCAATTTTTTATTCAATAACGCTGAAAGAAAAATAAACGTGTGCATACTAGTAAATGTTGAACAATTATATAAGATGAATCTCCAAATTCGATAAATGAATTTTTATCAAAAGGAAATATATCAAAGTTCTAAATAAAAAAAATATTTTGCAATAGATTGTGTCAAAGCCTTGATTCATCATGTATAATGCGTAAAAATAACAAAACTATTGTATTCATTGAATTTAAAAACTCGAGAACCTCTTTGTCTCGTTTACATTATCGTCGGGGCGAAAGCGAGGAGTGCGCTTCCCTGTAAAACCCCGGATTTTAATTTCCAAATATTTTTTCTTAGGAGCACAATTTGGAACAGTCATATCCATGCCGTTGAGTGGCCTTTTGTCGGCTTCATCCGTCGGTTGGCCGTCCATCTTTTACGTTTTTGGGGCCGTTGGAACCGTCTGGTGCGTTGCCTTTCTAATCTTCATCTACGAAGACCCAGCAGCAAACCCCAAAATGAACATCGACGAGAAAAAATACATACAGAAAGCTTTAGGCAACGTCGCTGGGGCACCTGTACGATTGTATTATTTGCTACCTAAAATATGGGAACTTAAAATTGTTTTTAGATTCCACCAATCCCGTGGAAAGCGATCGCGAAATCTATGCCTTTTTGGGCTATTTTATTAGCCCATATGGGCCATAACTACGGTTATGAAACCTTGATGACTGAGTTACCAACCTACATGAAACAAGTTCTACACTTCAGTATTAAAGACGTGAGTTTTGACAAGTCTGCATGAATTTTGGTTATTTAATTTGTTATTACAGAATGGGTTTCTTTCGGCTTTACCTTATTTAGCTATGTGGTTGTTTTCGATCTTCATTAGTCACGTTGCTGATTGGTTGTTAACTAAACCTTGTTTCACACATACTATTGTGCGAAAATTGATCAACGGAATTGGTACGTTTTAAAAAAAGTGATGTAGTGGGATTTATTTCATATATTTTTAATTGCAGGTCAATATGGCCCCGCGATTGCTCTAGTGGCAGCGTCATTTACGGGTTGCGACCGATGGTTAACCGTAGCCATCTTAACCATCGGTGTAGGTCTAAATGGTGGTATCTACTCTGGTTTCAAAGTCAACCATTTGGATATCTCGCCTCAATTTGCCGGAATTCTTATGGCCTTCACCAACTGTTTGGCAAATCTCGCCGGATTGTTAGCCCCAATTTACGCTGGAAACGTAGTTTTGGGAACGGTATGTTTCAACAGTTGAGTTAGTTTTGTGCTATTTCGGGTTTTACAGCCTAGTCAAGCAAAATGGCGCGTCGTCTTCATCACGGCTGCAGGTGTTTATGCTGCTTGTTGCACCTTCTATATTTTGTTCGGTTCCGGTGAACGGCAACCATGGGATCAACAGGAAGATCCCGACAAGAAGAAAGAAGCAGACAGTGACCCTGAGATAGTGACAACACGTGCTTGATTAAATAACTAAAAAGTACTATTGTGATTTCTATTCTACAAGTTATTGTATATTTTATATTGCCGCAACTAAACTAGTGCAGCTGTTATTACCTATTTTATTTGTACTGTAGATTGCAATACTCTCGAGAAACCTAAGTTTTTATTATTAAGTGTTTTGTAGAGGTTTCGGTTTGATCCAGTGCGAACAAGTACAAATGGTCTCAAAATTTTTTGTTGATTTAATATTTTTATGAATTAGGTACATTATTTAAAAACTTTGTGAACAGAATTGTTATGATTTAGATAAATACAGAAGAAATTTTTAATTGACTTGTTTTATTCCGAATGCTGATTTATTAGAGAACAAATACAAAAAAGAGAAGTTTTCTGAAAAAATCTCTAGTTGAAATATAAAAAATTGAGCAAAATATACCTTAATGGAACAAAAAACTATTTTGAGCAAAATATACCTTAATGGGACAAAAAACTAAGAAAAACATGGTTTGCGGTCACAAAAATCGTTTACAGTAACAAACAATTAAGAAAAAAATCGCGTGGAATATTAATATTGCAAAATGTGGATAAAATAAAAGGAAAATTCTGACTGATGTATAATTTATAATACATGTATAAGTAATGGTTACAACAAGAATAATACATATCAGATTCTAACAGTAAACAGATTATATCAAAAAGATCACTTAGACCATACATTATGAGACTAGATAGCATTTATTACAAATGACTAGAATGTCATGACATAATGCCCATTACACCAACCCTTCAACAATAAATTTTTCAATTTTAACTCTTTTTTCTTTAAAAGTTAGCGATCCCATTGTAAAAGTCGTCTTCCTAGATGCAAAATTGTCAAAATAAAAGTGGTTGGATGTAAACAGGCAATGTGGGAAATATATTCGTCTGGCCATGTCAGAGGTTAATCATTTTTGCAAATACGCAATAACAAAAATAAACTATATGTAACGGAATTAATAACAATTAAATTAATACCCAAAAAATAAAATTAATTTAGATGGGATCAACATTTAAAAAATACAACAAATTACGTCACTACAAAATAAAAATGTGAAAATAGTATTTATAAAATCAAGATAATTCTCAGCAACAACTTATCAAATGATTTACTACAATAATTTTTTAAAGGAAATTATTTGAAGAGTTTCCTTCTCCTGCAACACATTCACACAGCGAAAGTGACATTTTTGACTTGAACAACTGATAATCAATAATCATTAACGGTTGTTCCAAACCGATATTGTTTTAAAAATAAGTTCGATTGTAATTTGTTTCACACAGAAAACGGAACCAAATTATTTTATTGTTCAGTTGTAGGTTGACTTAGAATCCGGCGAGAATTTTGGGTCTTGGGCGGGCAGTATGTTTAATGATTTCTGTGTGAAATAACTTACAATTATGAAAACTTTGTAAACATTATCATTTTGGGAACAATTTAAATATCAACATTGCCACAATCTTAAAAAATATTTCTTTTGAGAGGTGTGGCTTTACATAGACCAAGGTTACATCGCTTAGAGAAATAGGTACATATTTATATAATTATTTAAATGTACTTATAAACTTACTACATTCACAAATGTCATTTATTAATGACTGGAAGAACTGTAAGAAAAAGACGCGTGAACAACAATATTTTACCTTATAGTAATTACAATAAGACTGTCTCTAAAAGTGCCACAGTTGTCGAGAGTAAAAACGAGATTGATTTGACATTTTATAAGCAAAAAATTACTAATAAAAGTAAAACAACAATTTGCAAATCAGTCATTTTGATAAATTATAACTAAGGAATGTTACGTTGAAATGTTTCAACGATGAACCAACTGCATTTGTGGAATGCTTACGTTTACAATATCAGTTAATTTGTTTCGCTTAAGATTGTCAATTTGCTCAAAAATCACAATTCATCACTAGTAGCGAAAGAAATACTAAGCGAAAGCGATGACTAAGTTTATAAATACAATTTTAATATCCTCAAATGAGGGTCACAGATGTCGCTTAATGAGTTTCAATACTGGGGATAATAATACAATATAATAATAATGAAACTGTATCGAAGAAAAATGCTTCTATTTACTATTAGTTCTATTGGGAAACTAGACCCCCGTTACGTATGTTTACCAAGCTTTGGTTTAAACCACTCTTGCATTTCTCAGTAACAATTACGATGACTACAGGTATGTAATTTGATATGTTTTAGAGTGGAACAGCGTCAAGAAACACTATATTATTTAATATATTTATGTACATTTTTATTACTTAACATAGGAGTTTAAACGGCAAAATCTGATGACGTTTTTTGGCACTATTTACTACTTCGAATGCAAAACATGCACACTTTAAGTGAGTATATTTATATATAAATAGTTGATATATATTTGAAATAAGAGCTGTTCAAGAATGACTGAAATGCAAATTTCTAGTTATCTATTTCAAACGAAACTACACTACTCTATAGTACCTATCTAATAAAAAAAAGATACGTATCATAAACATTTAAACGTGTTGAATAAATTCCGGATTGAGAAATGAAAATCCCATAAATTCTGTCTGATCCAAATTCATCATAAACAATTTATCAGTGGGTGTCAAATCCGTCTTTTCCGAAGTGAACTGCTTATCAAAATTGCTAACATCTTTGCGATGTTTCTGAAACACAATCATAAAAAAGCGTTTAAAATTTTATAGCCACTCACAATTTTCGGCTTAAAAGGTGGTTGAACCTCCCGGTTTTCAATTTTGTCCCAATCGATACGTCTAAAGAAAGCATGAGCACGAACGTCTTCCTCGCCGTGAGGACCACAACCTAGTCTTTTGTTTGGATTTTTGGTCAAAAGCTGTTGAAGAAAATAAGTATTTACGGATTTGTTTAATAGGAGATATTACCCCTTTGCACACGTCTTTGGCTTCTTTGGATAAACCCTTCGGATAGCTAACGTTATGATCGGTAATAGCTGCAAACAATTCTTCTTCGTCTTCCCCATCGAAAGGGGGCTGGCCGACCAACATTTCGTACAACAAGACTCCATAAGCCCACCAATCGACCGATTTTCCGTAGGGTTGGTACAAAATAATCTATAAACCGGTATTAAAATTGAATCAAAGTGGAGAAATAAACAAACCTCGGGAGCAATATAGTCAGGAGTACCACAAAAAGTTTTCGTAGTTTTATCACCCGTAATCCCTTCTTTACACATCCCAAAGTCGGCGATTTTTATGTGTCCATCTTGATCCAATAAAACGTTATCGAGTTTCAGGTCCCTGTAAACTATACCCCGACTGTGTAAAAAGAACAAACCGATGGCAATTTCAGCCGAATAAAAACTGAAAACGGCTTACTTATTTAAAAAGCAAACGCAATTTCGAAACCACTTACACTGCAACAGGTTCTTTAAATTTGCCACATTGTTGAATTTGGAACATCAGATCACCACCGTTCACATATTCCATAACAAAATACAGTCGGTCCTGAAATAATAATCCAGAAATGGAAACCTTCTAATAAAAAATTCAAGTACCATTGTTTGGAAACACGAATGAAGTTGAACTAAAAAAGGCGGTTTGTTGGAGAGAGCTAGAACGCGTTTTTCAACCATAGTGCATTCGACATCGTCATCTTGAATAATTATATCCTTTTTCAAAATTTTTATTGCGTACAATTCATCGGTTCCTTTCCTTTCAGCCAACATTACCTTTAAATAAAAGTAATTATGTTCCATTAGTGAAAAATAAAATAGTTCCACTCACTTTGCCGAATGAGCCTTTACCTAAAACCATGAGAAAATTGAAATCGCTCGCCCTAATAATGTCTTTTTTGCCCATATTGTGGGGAACGTCTTTGTCTGTTGTGATAGACGGCTTCTTAGTTATTGACGTTTTCTTAAAAAGTATATTAATTACACAAAAATACAAAAGGTGAGTTACCAGCGTTAGCTCATTTCTTTCTTAAGCTTGTTGAAAAACTAACAATGAATGTTTAACAGTGTAGGCTCTATTTGCTTTTTTACGCTTATGAGCAATTTTCTGTCAATATTCAACAATTTTGCGTTTTAACTGTATATTTTATTATTTAATTTCAATCTTGCAAATGAAAAATTAAAGAATAAAATAAAATTATTGATCTTTGTATATAAGCTATTTAAGCCAATATACTACCAAAATCTCAATGCAACCACCATTACTCTTCGCAAGTTATTTTGCGACAACTGTAATGTTGGCTGCATCGAAAATTTGGTCAGGCTCATTATTTCTCATGAATCACCCTGTACATATGTATATTAAAAAGAATTCAAACAAAAGATAATGAAGAAAAAAAAAACGAACTAACAAAAGTTTTTATCCTTTGAAAAATTCATATGACCAATGCACAATGTCTGTCAGAATAACGTGAAAATTATACTCGTATCTTAAAAGAGTATCTACCAACATGTAAAATTCTACTTTTTTATTATCAGTACTAAAAATGAAAAGATGAGAGAAAAACAACCCTTAAAATTTTACAAAAATCTAAAAGTGAGATATAAATTTTATAAATTTTTGAACCTATTTTAAAATATTTGACTTCTATATTTAAAAGTTAAATGTAATTGAGGATAAAACATTTTTGAAATGTAAATTGTAAAAATTATTAAACATTCATTAGTGTTTTTTTGATTGTGTAATAATTACCGTTGATTATTTAGTAAGTAGTAGTATTTGTATCATTCGCTGTTTTTACGAAAAACGTATTTTTATTTGACAGTTTCCGAATCCTGTTTAGTAGTTGCCTTACCCTCATTTGAGTTTTGATTGTAGCTAAATCGACCCCCTCTTCAGGCACCGGCACGTTGTAGAACTCCCCTTCCTCTTGAGTTAAAAGTTTAAACCAGCCATCCGGGGGTGATTTAATAATTTCTGAAATACCGAACGATAACGATCCCATGAAATCATTCCGAGAAGTGCGATCCCAATCCCACACTTCAATTAATAAACGTCGATCCTTATCCTCCGGTTTTAGTTCGCTAAAATATTGCAAATTCAAAAAAAATGTCTGTGAGAAATGACCCATTACAAAGTCAATGTTTCATTCCATTCTGGATTCAAGCACGATTTGATCGTTTTCGTTTTCTTCTTCACATTATCTGAATCGGGAATGAGTTTGATTTTAACATATGGATCACTTAATCCATTGGGATCCATTGGAATTAAATTACGACCTTGTAGGACTAAAATACAAAGTCGTAAAATTTTCATCAAGATCTGACTAAATCTCTCGATAAAATACAAACCTAGAACGCTCAATTTTTGGCCCGTGTAGGTCATTTTCAACTGAATTCTGCCTCTACGTTCGGTATGATCACAACCACACAAATTAGGAACACTCTCCCCACATCTTTTATGAACATTCATATCACATGCTGAAAAATAAAACAACCAATGCTTATTTAGCTTCAAATGAAATTTCAGTTGTTTCAAAATTTTAAGTCGTAAAAACAAACAAAAGGATTCGAAAGTGAGAAAATCTGTTTTTAATGGAGTAAAATGTGGTAGGAGAGAAAAATACCAGAGCGTATTTACTTTATGAAAGCTCATGTGCACTTCACTTTATTAGTAGGGCACTTAAAGAAGCAGGCAATTGACCAAAGCGAAAGAAATTATACATCAAATTCTAATTTAATTTACGTTCAAATGGCAGGTGATTTACTAAAAGCATGACAATGTATAAGTGTATTAGATGCTGCTTCTATTAACTCGAACTAGATATTTACATAATTCCTTACTGAATTCAGACAATAGACCAAAAATCGATGATCCTCAAATTTACAACGTAAGTACGTAGTTTTTACTTCATAACCGGATATTACAAGTCATTGCATTGGGCAACAAATTTGCTCAAAGATGGCTTGAAAATTTGTTTGCATAATTTAAAATAACTTCTAAAATAAGAATAAAGTGATTCCACTTCAACTAGGAAAACCTCACCAGAACCAGTAGATTTATCAAATAATAATAACAAGATAACCGGGCAACAATAACGATTATTTTTACCACTATTTACAAAAAGTGTGTTTTTTAATGAAATTTTCAAGTCACAAAGAATAGAAAAACTCTTTGCATGCAAAACAATAATCAACAGAATATGTAGGCTACTCTGTTGGTATTCGAAGTTGTAAAAATACAGAAATTTTGGTCTAAGCATCTAATTAATTCTGATAAGATTCTTTTTTTCTCAGATCTTTATTTAACGATTCCTTATTATTGCTCCGCCCCCATATTGTGAATACTTTAGATATATTAACTGGTTTGGACTGCTTAAACTAAATCCAAAAAGTCGAGATGTCAAAAGAGCTATATGTAGTAATTTTTAATAATGAAAAATAATTGGTTTTCTATTCCAGACTTATTTTTGCAGCATAGGTACAGAAATAAAAAACAATCGATTCAGTTTACCAGCATTCCTTTTTATTTAGTAATACCAAAGTATCCGCTGGTGAAACTATTTAATAATAAATTCATTAGAACAGAACCTTGATTTTTAAAAGCATCCCAAACAAAACATAAACAAAATAAAAAGAAAAACTTCAGAATAATGTGTAGGTTGAAAATTTTTCTTTTGATTAGGATGAAAATTAGACAGAAATAAAATAATTTACTCATAATTTTTACAAAATGTTTTTTACATCGGCTTTATCGATTTCTTAACACAGAAATTGTAAAATATGATTAATTAATTAGAAACAGCGTTGCAACTTCTACCAAAATTTGTTTTACAAAGCATACATAAGAATTTGTTAAAGAATTTTGTTTAGGAACTTTACCATTGTTAGAAAAATATATTTTTTAAAATGTTATTCTAGTTAGTTATGTTTATTATGTTTAATGTATTTGTTATTAGAATATTAAAGATATTTTAGATAGAAATTGTTTTCGCCCTGAAAGTTTGTGTTTTTTAATAATTTTAAAAATCAATCTTGCTGTTTTCTAACTGTTTCGTAACTTTATGACTACTTTGTATATTTCGTTATCAACGTTTAACATACAGAGTGTTAAAGAAGAAAATGTTACTTGCTTGCTTGAATGAAGAATTTCTTGAAAGATTTTAACACCCTGTAGTAAACTCACTCGGTACAAATATAAGATACAAATTTATTTAACATTTGCTGAATATTAAGTAAGTTTTTGTTGTATATTTATAACGATAAATATTTGACATTACATTGTTTATAAAGAAAATATTAAATCTTTTCGGTGTAAAATAAACGTCCAGGATCATAAAATGTGTATATGACTTGGTACAGATTTCATGAGTAATGCATCTTCAAATTCATTTGTTTCTAACATTAATAAAGAGCCAAAAGAAGAAAGGCAAAAAGAATGAAGAATACCTGCACGTATCCGAGTTCACATTTAGCTTTCATAAAATAGAAAAGTGGTCAATATCATGCCCTTTAAATTGAATCATGTACTAGGAAAAGCTCAAGCTTCTAAATAAATAGACAGTACCGAACACATAAGCTTCTACAAGGGAATAATTATTTGCAAATTGAAAGTATCAGGACCAATCAAAAATGCAAAAATAATAAAATCCAGGAAACCGTCTTCAAGTACATAAACTTGAGTTTTATGTATTTGTTGATTTTACTTGAGTTCTGTTTTATATATTGAGAGACTCACCTGACTGAATGAATTTTCTAACGAATTGTAGAAGAGTGGACTTAAATATTGAATAATAAAAACAAAAATTCTCAAATCATTTATTAACCTAATGAATTCTGAATATTAATTAAATTTTGAATTGGATACCTGTTGTTGTTTTCCTGTCACTTCGGTCGGTGCAACCGGCTACCAGCTTCGATCAACGCAGTTAAGTCATTGTTTTCCATTCGATTATGATCTCTGGACCTGCGATCAGTGGTTGTACAAACACTGTCTAATTTAAATTCGAACACTAACAATGCTAATGATGCTTTGGTTTCGAACATTAATCATCAATAAATATATAATAATAAACACAGTTCAAGACATATATCCACCCTTCTTCGTATGGAAAGCGTGATGACTACTAATACATCTGCGTAAGTTGACTGCATGTTCTCTCAATAAATTTTAACTTAATGCATGCTCTTCTTTACAAAATTATTTATTTTCATCTCTTTTCTACACCAAACTCGTTAATATTAATCGCCAACATTTAATTTGTAGACAAATTTCATGTTAGTAAAATGAGAAACCTAAAAGCTTTTTACAGCAGAGCATGCATTAATAAATATTTAAACACTTTATTTATTATACTGAAATGTTTATAGTTACAGAGTGACACATTTCGCTTCGTACGAGTATACACACAATTTTTTATAACTCATTCCAGTCCAACAGAACCAAATACAGATTTTCACATCTTTAGCTCTATTTTCATAAAATGAATAATTCTCACATGAATCACCCTGTAATCCAAGCAATTTACAATGGAAGCGAACATGACAATAGCAATGGTGGGCGACTTTCTTGTTACTGATTATAACAGCCACAATGTTTCTCTTGACTAAATGTTGCAGACATCAAACCAAATTCTCGACTCAACAGAATAATAATAAAGTTTATCTAGAGAAATAAACACTAACAGCAATTACTCAAAATTAAAATACTTTTATCAAATAGCTGATGGCTAAATCGTAAAAATTTTATAATTTTCTTTTTATTAACTTTTACGCTTTGCTCATTATTTTTTCTTTGATTTATTTATTCACAGAACAGTTTTCACAGCTATTTTAAAATTCTTCAAGAAATAATAAGAAAAGAGTAATAATGTTTCTAATAATACAAGAAATTGTAATAACCGAGCTAAGAATGAAGAGTCATGAACAAGTATAAGCTGACATTTTATTACAACAAAACAAAATAAGAAGTCTCGCTTATCCTATCTTGTATGCAAGAGACGTCAGTGTGCTAAAAATAATGCTCAGTTTCTTAAAATTTGGTTGGATAAAAACATGCAATACATTTTTATTGTCCCGGGAGAATCTTAATTAAACCAGAAATAAAGGCGCAACTTACAGAATTAAAAGTAACGACTAAATTACGACTAGAAACTAAAAAAAAATATTTTTATCCGCAAACGTCACAAAAGTGACCACTTTTATGACTAAATAACACAGGTAAAAGTTTTACTTTTCAGACATGAAGTAAAAACACTGTTTTTACGCCTAGGCGTTTTCACTTTTACTTGACACTTACTTTGACATTTACCACTGTTGTCTCTTTCTTGTCTCTTTCGCTTTTTCAGCATTTTCTGGAGAGGTACAAGGTAGGTTATCAGCATTCGACATTTTGCACTATAAACTACACCAGTTATTCACCAGTTAAATCAATCCACACTTGAAATCTCAACACAAATTCCGAAACTGACGCGTGACGTTTGTTATGATTTTATTGCAAAGCGTCCTGATTATTGAGGTGATTTACTTGATTATTGGTGTGTTGCTCTTTTCGTTCCATCTGAATCGTTTGCAGATAAAATAGTATATGTTATTTGGAGTAAAAGTGAGTTTATGTGGCTCAGCTGAATCCATTTGCCTCACTCCGTTCGGCAAAATGAACGTTCAGCTTCGCCACATAAACAATCACTTTTACTCCTAATAACATAATCTACTATTATTTTTGATTTGCTATAATATGTATATTAACATTTATTACAATATTTTATCGAAATGAAAATACTCCTATTAATTTTTTAAATACTGTAATAAAATCGTAAGTATTTACTTTACAATAATTATCTATAATAATTATGATAAATATAAAAATGCATGTTTTCATTATTTTGTCATTTGAGAACCACGATTAAATTCTAAACAACTTTCTAAACACAGAACCACTGCAATTTATATCCTTAATACGTTAAATTTAGTAATTAATTATGATTATACATAATTATGTATTTCTTTAAATAAATTATGTTTTGAAAGAGCTTCTTTTATATAGCAAGGAGAGACATACTAACACAGTCAACATTAGACGTTGGTAAAAATTTAATTTATTTAAAATATATTTATAGTCTAGTTACTGGCAAAGTATATGCTATAAAACAAATTCAAATTGCATAAAATTAAGTTTGTAACTACTTAAAATAAAAACAATTACAAACATTGACATCATTGTAAGTAAAAAAGTCATACTGTTTATTCATAAGATTGGCAAATTATAATATCTTTGGTAAAATAACAAAATGTTTCAAACGGTTTAATGAGGATATCTCATTTTTTATAACAAAATTTTAGTACAAAAACAATAATTCGATATTCTTTAAATTTTTTATTGTAGATAATTTTTTTTATCAAATTTCCAAAAGCTGTTCAAAACTTCATAAAAAACATGTACAAACCAAAAATTGTCAAAAGAAACAAACAGCTCCTAGATTATAACCAGTAACTCTTCGGTTGTCTACATTTACCTATCGCTGCTTGGATTAAGACACACTGTAGCAACTTGTGTGGTGTAACAAATAAAGAATCCATGCAAGTAAAAAATGCAATCATGCAACGCAATTGCTTAATGTATTTGCTGACGTTTTATTTTTTAGGGCAACAAGGCACTTCATAATTACCTGTACATTTCATGCCCTGATGAATCACTCCATACAGTAATGATCCACAGTGGTCACAAAAAGTGGGCGATGAATACGTATGAATTTTGAAATTATGACGAGTTCGAGTATCCTGCATAAAAACAAAACGCACAAAAGGAATCATTTTAGGTCATGTAATGTTGAAATACTTACATCTGAATCGGCACCTTTGTCGGCACCTGGACAGGTAAATGTTACGTATTCGTGACATCGTTTGTGCACAACGAAACTGCAAACTAAATTAAGAGTTAATTACAAACCGCTGTAATTACGGTTGAGTTTTGATAATTAAGAAATGGGCTTTGAGGTTGCAATCGGCACGGAATAAATTCATAAAACGTATTTATAATTTTATTTCGACAATTAAAGATACTTCATAGGATTAATAAAAAAGATATTTGTGACTACATGAAACATTTACTATTCATAAAGTCAGCTTTATTTTAAAATATACTTCTCTAAACTTGGATCGTTGATGCACTGGAAAAAACCGACATGTAATTTAAAAGTGAGAAACTACGAGTACTTTCCGCACTTCATTATAGGAAAAGTCATTCGCCTTTGAAATTCGTTTATTGTCCTTTGTCACGAAAACTTCGCGCTGTGTAAGGGTTTCAGGATGTCTCCAGCTGGAAAAATCCGCTTAATCATTACAGAGCCATTTTTACCAGTACTATGGTCTCATTATCACAAAGTTTCCGGATCGTTTGTTCCGCTAATTTACTTGTCACAGCATCCAATAAAGAGTAAGAAATCTTTCGGATTTATTATTTCACGATTTCAAGAACCAATAGCGCGGAAAGCTGTGAACGTGAACTTTATATGGCTCATAATTTATTTGTAACGTTAAAAGCTAAATAATTAGAATTATTATAAATTATTTTAATTGCAAACTACTGTTAAGTTATTTATTTGCACAATAAAGTGATATGCAAATTAAATATGTAATAATTTATACTGATATATGTCACTTCAGTAATTAATATTTATACAGGGTGTTCCGTTTTTATTGTTACAAATTTAAACAGGTGAAAGGATATTCAATTCTAAGACAAAAGATTCCCATAAACATGTATCGAAAAATGCTTGGTAAGGGAGCTACACCCCCTGAAAGGGGGCTAATAGGTTTTTGCTAATATTTCAGAAACCATTTAAGATAAAATTACAAAATTTGGTACAGATGATAACCTTTATACACCTAAACGAATTCAAACATCAAATGTCGAAATTTTTAATCAGGGGCGTACGAAACTGGGGGAGTTTAAGGTAAAAAAATACCCTATTTATTTTGGCTTTAGTTTCTCGGTACTTTCAGCAACAAAATCTTTAGTTCGATAGTTTATCACAGAAAAGTCTCTCGTGTCGATACGACTTATTGTTTTTGAGTAAAATTAATTTAAAATTTATGTTACACACCAATACAACATTCAAATAAATCAGAATTTACAGAATAATAAAAGCAAGAAATTCATATTTTTTAATCAACCTCAACTAATTAACATTACATTACAGTAACAATAATAACATTAATTAAATGAATTTGCCTAAATCTAAAGGAGTTGTTCAAAGTGACCACCATTTTAGTCAATGCATAACTAAAGAAACAGAAACCAAAATAGATAGGGTATTTTTTACCCTAAACCCCATCAGTTTTGGACGCCCTTGATTAAAAATTTCGACATTTGATGTTTGAATTCGTTTAGGTGTATAAAGGTTATCATCTGTACCAAATTTTGTAATTTTATCTTAAATGGTTTCTGAAATATTAGCAAAAACCTATTAGCCCCCTTTCAGGGGGTGTAGCTCCCTTACCAAACATTTTTCGATACATGTTTATATGAAACTTTTGTTTTAGAATTGAATATCCTATCACCTGTTTGAATTTGTAACAATTAAAACGGAACACCCTGTATAATAACAATATTTAGTGACATTAATTAAGAGGAAGTTGTTTATTTCCAAATTTTTTCTTCTTTACTTATTTTTGTTTGTTGAAAAACGTAATACTTCCGTCGCATTTATTTATCCATAATTAAACAATGTTAATTATGTAAAGTAAATTGAAACGACAGTTGTCTAAATTTGGACAATAAACAAATTTAAAAATAGTAAAAAATACAACTAGTTTTCGCCTTTTATTCCGCTCTTCAAATGCTAATAACCGTATTTGTATTCTCGAAAAACAGAAAACAAACTGAATTATTGAACAACCTATTTTCTTTGATGGGTATAGTAAGCGCAACAAGTAAAATTCTAATTACAAGTATCTGCAAATAGCATTTTAAAGTACACGGTTCAAATGTTAACATTAACATTGCAATTGTAGTTTTTATTTTATTATGATTTAGAAACAAACAAACTAATTTTTTACATGAACAATATGGAATAATATTATGTACTCGTATAACAACAAGTATGAAAATTAACACTTATGCTTTTCTGGACAACCATTTATAAAATATAGTCTATTATGTATAAAAGCTAGAAGATACTTAAAAACGAATGTTGTTTGATAAACAAGACCTTAGCGGAGAGTGATCAAAGAGTTATTAAGTAGTAATAAAATTAATCATTTTTATTGAATCTTTCTGTGCGAAATACGGTCAGGTTATAACTTATTTTAATGAAAGGAAATAACGTAGTAAAATGGAAAATTTAATCATCATACTTAAATATGAGTTGATAGATAAATGCTTTCATATTAAATAAAATGTTTGTATGGAAATTACCTATTTTCATGTCTAACCGCATTAATGGCTAATCCTATTATACCCCTGTAAACACTATACAAGCAATTCAAGTTCAGTGGAACACAAATCTTATCATGACTTCTAAATTAAAAGTGTATTTCATAGCAATTATGGGAAGCACCAAAATAAAAATTATAAAAATAGAGATATCTTCGCCGTTTATTACCGTTGCAGAGAAATTTTAAAGTTATAGTTGCAGTGAAAAGCTCATCGCTTTAGAAATCGCCTCTTAAAGCTCCGAAAAAAGCACAAAAAACATAAATTTAATG